TTTGGGCCACCCCCAACCCTCGGTGGGAAAAAAAGGCCGGGTGTTGAAAGAAAGAAAGATTTAGTAAGGCATTTGTACGGGGAAATTTGGGGGATCTGAAATGGACAACTTCTTTTTTTTTTTTTCAACAAGGTTGTCGTCTCCCACCGGGCAGTACTGGGCCCCTCGAACATACTTTTTGGAATGAAAAAAAAATCGTTAACCCGGGGGCCACTGTATTTCCTTCTTTAATTTTATCGTATTAAAAAATAATAAAAAATTTCGATAAAAATTTGGGGAAGGGAAAATTTTACCCAAAAAAACGAGGGTTTAAAACAGTGGGGGAGGGAATTTTTGAAAGGGATCGTCAGTCATTTTGCCTTTTTTTAGGGTAAATTAGACACGTGTGGCTTTGTTTTTCGAAGTGAGCATTAATCCCCTACCCTTTCCAAAAAAATTTTATAATAATTCATTGTGGGTTTGGGGCTTTTAGATTGATTCGACTGCCATATAATTATCCATGGGCTCAAAAAACTTGCTAGTGCCAAGGGCCCCTTTTCCTTGGGAAAGATATTGAAAACCAAAGAAAGGAATTGGGAAAAAAGAAATTTTAAACCAAAATACGAGGGAGTGCCTGCAGGGGTTTTTAGGCAGTGGTATTTTAAAAACATGTTTTTAAACCATAACGGGGTATTTTACTATTTAGTACAATATTTTTTTCGACATTTTTTTGTAATTTTTTCGATTGTTCATGGTTTTAACAAGTTAAGGAAGCAGTATTGTATTTCCCTACAATATATTGGGGAAACCCAAAAATTTGCCCATGCCCTTGAAACCCCTAAACCCCCGCAAATTTTTGAGGGAAAAACCTGTTACCAAATTTTTTCATTGAATTTCATCGTCTTTTCCCTCTCTGGCTTCTGCTGCCGCCTCTGTTCTTTACCGGGAAAAAGCCTGTGTAAAGGAAAAACATTTCCCAAAAAAAGAAAACCTTAAATGTTTTTAAAAATCTTATCAACTTCTCAAAAAAGTTTTAAAAATTATCAAATTCACTTTTAAAACCTTTATCTTTAAAAATGCATCAAAAAAATTTGTGTGACTTACAAAAAAATTAAAATTTTTAGAACCCAAAAGGGGAAACTTTCCCAAAAGGGAAAAAACCTTTAGCTATAAAAGATGCAACCTTTAACACCCCAAAAACTTTTCCACCCCCGCCCCGCAAGCCTACCGCAGTTTTTTCTCTTTCAAATATTAACACAGCTGTTTGCCACCAAGGCAGGGGTGATGCAAAAAAAGGAGACACTTTTATTTACCCTGTCTTGCCAGAGACCCAACAAAAAACTACAGTTTTTAAACCCAAAATTTTCACCTGACCATGTTTCTGCCACAAATATTTAAACCATCAAACTTGAAATGCCCGCTGACCAGGCAAAAATAGCCAGGCAACACCAGCCCCTTGATACGGAGTTCTGCAGGGGAAATGTCCTTTGGGCCCCCCCTTCCCCATTACATCAATGACTTCCAAACGTATCTAAAAAACCTGAACCCCCCTTCTCTTTACTGAAAAAAAACGATTTATGTTCCCTCTTTTCACCCTAATTTTTGCCACCCCTCGACCCAATTTTTAATGAGGAGCTGATTCAAAATAACGACTTGGATGACAGCCCAAAAAACCCTTTCGCTTAACACTTTAAAAAAACCACTACATTATGTTTGGGTTTGCAAGCAGGGATGCCAAATTAAAAATAAATCGACAAAAACACTAATTGCCCGGCATAAAGAAACAAATTCCAAGGGCCCCAAAAACACAAAAAACCTGAACTTTAACCCCCCATATCCAACACATAACCAAAAAAAATAAACCCAAAAAGGTTTGGGTCCTCTCCAAAATACATACTACGTTCCGCAAACTGCCCTTCCACACTATACCATTCACTTTTATCCATAAACCCCACCTATGCATCTTTTGCTTTGGGGTTTAACTGCAGCAACACACCTAAAACCCAAAAATAACCCCAAAAAAAAAGTGCGTTTAAAAATAATCACTAAATCCCACCCTGCAACAAACCCCCACACTTTATAGATCTAAACTTACTCCCTGTTCAGTACATCCCCACTTACACTGTGGGAATTTTACAAACACAGGCCTTAAATTTCCCAAAATTTTAAAAATTTACCTTAAACGCTTTCTTGATAATTTGACAAACCCCCCGGCACAAAACCAGACACAAACATCTCGGACATTCCCCGTGTCCGACCCAAAAAATTACAAAAAAATTTAAAAGTATGCTGACATTTTCCCCCTTTCCGACTAAACCCTTTCAAAAATTCAATGTAGTCCAAAACCCCCAAAAAACTGGAACAAAACCCTTTCCGAAAATTCTAAAACCAGACATATTCATCACCTCAAAACTACCACAGAAAACATCTTATCCCCCTGATACACCCTTTCAACTAAATTTCACGAATACCACCTGTGGTTAACATTACACTCCCTCACCCATTTGACCATAAACAGAAAATCAATCTCAATTTTCAAAATAATTTTAAACTTAACTAGTCAAAAAGTTGGGCCCGTAAAACTCCAATACTGAAACATGTATAGGGGCCAAAACCAAAAACATTCACATTGCTAAAATCACCCAAAAGTATTTAAATCCCTTAGCCATAATACCAACTTTCCTCCTTTTTTTGTAATAAAATTTTTAAATTAAAAATTAAATTTTTTAAGTCTGCCCAAAATGCCTAGCCAAGCTAGGGGTTCTAGGGTACACTCTTTAGTTATTATTTTTAAATACATGTAAAACCCCCACAATAACCAAATTTTTGGGAAACTTTAGCATTGTAATTTCCCAAAAAGAATAAACTTTGAATATGAAAAGCTGCTTTTTCTCTCCAAATCAACCAAGTAATAGTATAACAAACAAAATATTTTATTTACAGGGGAAAAAAAATTTGGGAGCAACTGAGAGGAGCTACAAGATTCATTGAAAAAAACCACAGAATTTTAAATGCTATATTTTGACCCCAAAAAACCTTCATGAACCGCTGCCTTCAACAAGAATGATGAAACCCCGGATTTCCGCCCAAAACGTGAAAATCTGCAAAAAGAAAAACAGAGTAAGATCACAATTTATTAAGTTTTTAGTTTATATCTGTATAACCCCCAAATGACCCAAAAAATTTATTTGCTTTTAAACTTTTTGAGGAAGGTGAAAGAGGGCAAAAAAAAATAAAAATTACGGGAACCCCTTTTTCAGAGTACGATTCTGCTAAACTAGCACTCCCGAATATCTTTACTGGGAAAATGCGGTTTAAAAATGTGGGAGCCAATGGGGAAAATTTTAACACTTGCCTTTTTCTTTTACTCATTATTTTTTAAAAATTTTGTAAAATTTCCCGTAAAAAAAAATAAAGGCCCAAAATTAATTTTTTTAAATTAACAATGTCACAAATGGGGGCAAGTAAAAAAAAAAAAAAAAAAAAAAAAAAAAAAAAATTTCCCCCCCCGGATGGTTTTTCAAAGGGCCATAAGATAAATTTTAAGTGGGCCCAAAAATGTCCCCAAAAAATTGATGATTTGTGTCTTTTCTTTCCCCAGGTCAAAATGGAGAAAAACACAAACATCAATAAATATACCACTTGCATCTCTGAATTTAAAACAACGTTATCCATAAACCATCCCCCAGGGCCGAAAACCTCATCCGGTTGCTGCCTTTGGATTCTTGGTTTTTACACAGAATTGCCATTGTAAAAAAATTAAAAAGTGAATTTAAAAATGCCTCCCCCAAAACATTAAAAAGGATTACCAATAGACACCTGGCTGTCTTCAAAGGTACTGGACAGGCACCCAAAAATCAGACCCGACATTTGGGCGTGGTTTTGAAATTTAGGGTTTTGTGCCTGGTTGATCAGGCGGAGGGCCCCGGGCACAGACCAGGCCGCAAGGGGGGCTGCCCCCTGAAACCCCTCCAGGTATAATAACCTCCAATATTTTTCCACCCTTTTAAAATATTGGGGGTGAAATGAAAACTTTTAAAACTGCCAGTAAAAAAGATGGTTTAATTAAAAAAAAACCTTTTAAAATACCCTTGCTTTATAGATGTATTCAAAGCCCATGGGAGCCCGCAGTAAACCCCAATTTAAAATCCCTCCCAGGGCCTAAATTAAATACTGTATAAACAATGAAGTCCCCGCTAACTGGAAAGCATTAGCCAGACCCCAAGTCCTTTAATGGGAAAATAAAAGATCCCCGCACTCCCCAAAAGGGTTTTATGGGGGTGCTGCAGTCTGGAGGGCTACTTTTAAATGTGATAGCCACACTTCTGGCAAGACAGCTATTTGAATAAGTAAGGTGGGGGGACGGGGCCCAAATTGTTGAAAAAAAAAAAAATGTATTTTTTTTTTTTTTTTTTTTTTTTTTTTGGGGGGGGGGGGGGTCATTCACCCTACCTCTTTTTGAAAAGCCAGTTTTGTTTTAAAAAAAAAATCTTACATTTTTGAACTGCACTGGGGGTGTAAATGACTTCACAAACACATAGGGAAAATTTCTGGAAGAAAAGAGCCATCAAGTAAAAGCAAATTAGAAAGTAACAAACCCAAATAAAGTGGAGACTTACTGTAGTGTTGTAGCACATATTTATGACTAATAATTACTGTAGTGCTTACCATAAAAACAGTCAGAGGATAAATATTAGACATCTGTACAAGTCAGTTGCTACTTGATAAGTGAGACATTTGTGCAGCACTTGGATAACATTTTGCCAGCAGGTGCATATGCTGTACTCTGATCAAGACTGATGGATTGAACACATTGACACAAGACCGAGAGACTGATTACCTCAAACTCTCTACTCGTCTTCCACCTCTCATTTCTATACCAGACTGAGGAAGCCACTTGTTAGTGAAACGTTTCCACAAGTGTCTCGTTCATCAAGATTCGGTTCTCTGAACCATATAATTAGAGTTCATACTTACCTGGGGTCCCTCAGCACTTGCGTAGAGTCTGATTTGGGTCAACTTTACAGAGTTTTAGTTTTTTTCTTTGTCTTCAAAGAACACAGCAGGTTATTAACTTGATATTTGTGTTCAGTGTCCCATTGTGCTGGTGCTGCTTCCTTTCCAAAAATAACCTCAAGGTGATCTATGATACTGAAAATTATAAAAATGTGTTACAAAAGAAATTTAAAAAAAAAAAGTTTAAACTTTGAAAATATAATGAAATCAATCTAAAACTATAATAATTTAATTTAGATTTCTAAGGTGTACAAAGATCATTTATCAGAATGTATAATGCAGTACTTCTACCAAAGGGGTGAGAATGTTGCCTTTCAGAGGACCATCTGAACTGTGATGTCAGCACACTTTTGGTGAAACTGAATGTGTTTCTTCTATTCTGGGTCTCCCCCCTTGGTAGGAAATGGCCGGTGTGCTTAAAAAAAAGAAAAAAAAGTTAAACTTACTGATCACTTTCTGGAAACTCTTGAATAATATCGGTCTCATGATGTTCTGGATACAGGAGCATCACTGGCCACACTAACTCTCCACTCTCATTAAAATGGACACGAGAACCCTTAAGAGAAAATGGTATTATTATATTCATATAGGCATCTAGAAAATGGGAAGTAATCAAGTTTAATCCAAGGAAGGAAAGAATAGCCCAAAATCCTCAAATCAAATGCCCTTTATCAAGATCAAGGCCCCCAGCTCCTTTGAAGGGAAGAAAATTTTTAGTTTACAATTCATCAAAAACCTGCACTTGGGAAGGAAACTTAATGATGACACATCAGTCCATCCTGCACCATTTTGTCCAAGCCCAGTCGTGACTCAACAATGGTCCAGGACTGAACAAAACATCTTCATAAGATTCATCTCTTAAGCAGAATTTTTGGTGAATTATTCCAGCCATGGTATTGTGACTTTTTTATTCTTTTATAGCTTTAGTTACTTAAAAGAGTTACTTTCTAGTATGTAATACACAATAAACATTTTATTTAATAGCAAAGATATTACTTTTTTAGCAATTCCTTGGTAACTATACCTAATTACCTTTGGTTCAAGTGTTCAAGAGTAATTTTTGTAGATTTTTTACATTGGCAGGAACTCGAGGAATGAATTATTGGTTTATTTTCAGGGTGTAGCATTCCCAAAGAAACTGAAGAATGGGAGGCAATTAGGTTTGATTCAAGAGAGGAGAGTATTTTCCAATTCTTTGGATCAAGGCACCCCCTTATAGATCCACTATTGTAACATTCTTAAACATAGAAATTTAGCTCAAAAGAGTAGGTTTGGGCCTGAATATTTTTCTTTTGGAACACTTGTTTTTCTCCCACAAGGAGTGAGGATGTTGTAGCTGAAGGTAAACTAAACTGTGAGGTCAGTCCACTTCTAGCAAGAAGTGACAATGAACGAGTTTCCTTTTATTCTGGGTCACCCTCTCTTTGTGGTAGATAGCTGGTGTATTAAAAAACAGGGAATGAAACTTGGTACATATATCACTGCCTCCACGATTTTCTGAAATACTGAAACTCTTCCCAAATAATACAAGGAGATTTATCTCTACTTGTTTTCTTGACAGGAAAGCATGAACTATAATAGTTAATCAAAGATAAAATAATAATGAAAAAATACCGAGCAAGGAATGCGGCAGAGAAACCCTTTTTCACTTTTTTAACACACCAGTCATTTCCCACCAAGGCAGGGTGGCCCAAAAGAGAAGAAACACTTTCACCATCCCTCACTCCATTACTACCTTTGCCAGAGAGGCACTAATACTACAGTTCAAAACTGCAAATATCCCCACCCCTCATTCAGATATAGACTTGATAAAGCCCTTATATTTAGAGTGAAACATTGTCTAATAAAAACCTTGCCTGGCTATGTGTATTTCCTATTCTTAGGTAAAAAGCTATACAGACAGCAAAGGGAGACCCTTATTAACACAGCCGTACAAATACTAATAAAGGCCTCATTCTGCTACGTGTTTATTTTATCACTTGTTGACTGCACCATAATTCAATTATCGCCCCATTCCTCGTCTATCTACTACTCTTCATTCACTACAAAAATTGAACACTTTGCACTACACACCTGTGCTGCAGGATGACAGGGTTCAAGGTCTGACAGAGAAATGGATGAGGAACCTTTCAAAACTGTGCTGCCAAGCTGAACACCACTATTCTTGATGGCATTTATGAGATTTTGTTCTTCGGTCGCTTTCTTATTTTCATCCCGAGCCATTTTCCGAGCATTTCTCTCCAGTAATTTCTGTTTTGGAAAACAAAAAGCATATTAGGCGTATCTTTTATTACTTCACAATGTATTAAAATGAAATGCTCAAATAATAGGAAGCAATTATCCCTAAGTTGAAAAGAATGCAAGTCATTGTTAGGCCATAGGAATAGTATGAATAGAGAGGGAAAGCCTGGGGAAGGATGTAGCAGCAAAAAGTACTGTAGGATTTATGAATAAATAGGTAAGAAAGGCTATATGGCAAAATTACTTTTTTTTTCAGTGTTTTTTTTTGTTAAACAGTAATGAGAAGCACCACATTATGTGATAATTTTCCAGCCAACATCAGCTACAATTCTCAACTGCTTGCTCAATAAGTTTCTATTAAATATCATACTGGAAATGAAAAGCTGACTGGTGATAAGATTATAAAAAAAACTACAGGGTAATTCAGACCCAAAAAAATTGTTTGCCT